CCCCAAAACCCCAAAACCCCAAAACCCCATGATGATCTTTGAAATATCAAATAATGAATAATACATTTAAATTTTACTATATTATAAATATTGAAAAGTGAAATGATAGACATAAATCAGACAAAGAAAGTAATTTTAGCTATTTATAAAGTGTATTCAGAGAATTCAAGAGTTGAATTAAAAAATCGAAAGTAAACGCACTGAGATACTAAGAGTTTTAAACTCTTAGAAGAAAACATAGAGTCTGCTTCCTGATCTTAATATGGATTATGATAAGAACACTAATGGGTAATCATCTCTCAATCAAGAATCAATCCAAACTATAAATGTTTCAACAATGAAGGTTTAACTAGCTTAGCTGAAAGAGAAGATTGGAGGCACTCGTGAATTCTTGGAATCCTCAAATAATCTTTCTCAGATTATAAATTCAGGGATAAATTCATTAGAAACAAGAAAGAGTAGAGCCAAAGATACTCTGAATCTGTTCCAAGATATAATCCAGCTTAGAGGAAGCTACAACCAGGTATACACTGCTTTTGACAATAATGACCTTGAAAGTGCAGTTTATTTTATGGCAAAGGTCATCAGTTTGATGAAATCCATGGAAAAAGATGGAGCTATCAAAGATGAGGACAGAAATTTGTTTGATGGCTTAAAGAAAAAATTGTCTGGTCATCTTAAAGATAAAATGAATGCTGCAATTAGTTCAAAGTATGTACATTTGTTTTAAATACAATAAATTTTTATAGAAATGAATAAGAAATCGAGAAAATAGCATAGCTTTTTAAGTCAGTAGAGGAACAGGGAGAAGGGATGAAATATTACTCACAATATTTGATGCAAAACAAGGTTTAATGCGACATTGAAACAATCATCTTAGATATGTTTCAAAAGACCATCCAAAACCCAACAGGCTAGCCAATAAGTGACTACTATGGCTAGGTCTAGAGAATCCTTATTGATTGCATGGAGAATTACTCAGCCTCTATTATTTAACTATTTGACTTTGAAAGTCTGATGGAGTTTGTAAAGAACATTGACAATCTTGCCAAAGAAAAGGTAATCAATTAGGTTATTTAATATTTACAGGGCACTTAACTTATTTAGCACTTTATTAACCAAAGTAAGCTTGAGAAGTTCATTATTCTCTCTGATAACTTTCTCTCAGAGTAAGGGAACTCAAGCTTCTCGAGTTTATCGGAAGACCAAGAAATCCAGTTGGATTCTATCTGCGAAGAGATAATTAGATTCAGTCAGTATTACTAAACCTACTGCATTTATATTCTTCAGCTAATCTAAAAATTCACAGGCGGCAGTTCTAAACATAAGTCTCAAAGTCAGAATAAAGCTACAAAAGCAGCTAGTAATGAGAAGGCTTCTTCAAATAATTCAAGCATCAACAACTCTCTGAAATTGATTTAAAGACAAATTCAATTCCCATTGATTGATGAGCTGGTGAACAACTATATAGTACTGGAGAAGTTTTATCTAAGGAATAGCTTGAATAAAGCTTTGGACTAAGACAACTAGGAATATGTGAAGATTATAAGCAAGGTTTATAATCAGAATGAGAAGTTCGACCAGATTCCAGACATTATAGACTTTGTTGATGATTACTGCTACATTTTAGACACCTGTTCAAAGAGAGTAAGATTTAAATAATAAATCATATTTAGGCTGTACAATCGTTTAACATTGTTAATGCTTGCGCTATCATAAATATGATCAATCAGATATTGAATGATGATATCAAACAGGCATTTAGTAACAGAGTAGAAATATTCTTAGGGAAAACTTCATCAAAGAAGTTTAAGCCAATTCATCAAGTTTAGAATCTCAGCCTTGTTAAAGATGTTGTCAACTTGCCTGTTGAACATACCAAAGCTAATAATCTCGCTAATTCATGTAAAAACAATTTAATTTCATAATTTAGGCTTAATTGGAATAATGAATAGAGTTCAGCAGTTATCAAAGAATATGGCATAGCTTTAAGTTTAGCTTAAAATGGAATTTGATCAGTTTATTGCAGATTTGAAGGTCGGTCAGGATGATTCAGACGATTCGTAGGTTCATTAGAACTTCGAGATATTAGATCATTCCAAGGAGAAAACAAAAAAGCTTAGCACAGATTTGAAATCGTTAGGTCTTAATACCGATATGTTTGACCACACTCTTACTTAGTTTAGAGACACTTAGAAGTCCTTCCAGGAATTCTAGAAATCACTGATAGACGAGTTCTTTAACATTTAAGCTAACCAAGACAGCTTAAATGACTTGTTCATTCAGTTCTCTGATGTCAGCTTCGATATAAACAATCAGTAGTTTAATGATTACGAGAAATAGGATGTATTCATTTAAGAGTAAGTTTAGTTTATAATATATTTGACCTTGTAGATTCTTTGCAACATCTAAAAACATGCTGAAGCAGTTTAAAAAGTAGCTGAACCCCATTGTATTTCAGTTATTTATAGATAACTTCACCTCTCAGGTTGTGATCCTATTCAAGCGTGAGATTCAGTAACAGCAGTTCTCTCTCCTAGGTTCACTATATCTCGATAAAATTATTAGAAAGCTCAAGAACTTCATTTAGTATCTGAGCGATAAACCCATTACTAGTTAGCACATGAATGAGCTAATGGAGATCGCTTAGCTGCTTAGTTGTGAGAATATAGATGAACTAGAGATATTACTGAATGAAAAGACTGAGCTGATAGTAAATAAGACTATCAAGGTTGAGGAGATCAAAGAGATTATTATATAGAGAGTAGATTTAGATAGGAATTAGATTGATGCTTTACTCAAGAATTATGCTTGAAAAGTAATTAATTTCGATTTATTGATAATCTTAATTTCATAAATCCAAAAATACTCGATGTCATGGGGTTTTGGGGTTTTGGGGTTTTGGGG